TAGTAGGATATGATGAATATAGGATTAGAGTATTTAAATAGAGGATCTACAGATAGGTTCTAGGTATAGCAACTAGTATAGAACTTTTGGGCAAACTACTTAAATTAAATAATGACTAAAGTTATATGAGTAACTAGTTGTATACTCTTTCTATAATCACCTCTGCACTGTTATATTAACAGATGCTAGCCAACTGATACTACTAATAAAATCCTAGGTTGCATGTACTTACCTTAATATTAAAAAAAAAAAATCAAAGTGTAATAATTTAATAAAGTCTCCAAGTAGCAGGTTTAGAATTCAAATCTTAATAATAGTGAAAATTTGCAATTCTTTCTGTGTTACAGTTAACTGTCTTCTATGATTGGTTGGGATTAAATATCTGTAATTCATGTCATATTAGTATAACTGAAAGGTCTAGTTATTTGTACAATGTTGTACAAAGAAACACAAACTAGTACTAGGCAGTATAAATTTATGATAAGTTTTTAAATTATATGAATCACAGAAACCAGATAAGAAGACAGAAGCCCACTTGGAAAACCTAAGTAAAAAGATAACTTGAATCTTTAACAATATTATTGTAAAGACTAGACCTATAAAATAAAACTAGAATTTATAAAACTAGGTAAATGTGCTGATCTTTGAAAAGGGACCAGATGAACTAACTAGGCTGCTAAAATTTTTGAATTTTGAAGGAAAAAGATACATATTGAAGAATATGTAAATCAGAGATATAATTATAGTCTACCTTTTTGAGTTATCTGAAATAGCAACTTGATAGAACTGAATTAAATACCAAAGTAGTAAAAATATGTTGTGAAGTTAATACTGAGGTTGGAGTAAACTCTACAAGAGCACAGTAATTTAATAATACACTCTAACTGTAAATGTTAGTTTTGGTTATAACAATACTAGATTAGCTATAAGAATAGAATACAAAAAATTCTGAAAAGTTTAGTACAAGGTTAAAGATTCTCTATATAAGTAACCTACAAGAAGCTTTCAGGTATGGCAGCTAGTATAAAATCTTCAGATAGACTACTTAAATTAGACAATAACTAAAGTTGTATGAGTGACTAGTTGTATACTTTTTTTATAATTATTTTTTGAAGTTGTTATACAACTATTAGCCAAATATACTATCAATAAAATCCTGAATTACAAGTACTTACCTTAATATTTAAAAAAAAAAAATTTAATAAAATGATTAATTGTCAAACTTTTAAATAATAGATTGCAAGTTCAAAATCTATTAACAATAAAATTTAAATTTTTATCTATATTATGTATAACAACTGTTTTTAATAATTAAGTTAAAATATTTATAATTATGATCATATGAGCTTGGTGCTACAGAAAAGTGAGAAATTGACAAAAAAAAAGATCTTCAGAAAATCAATTTTTATGTTATAAATTTTATAATAAATTATAAGAAAATACAAATTTCAAAAAGCTATTCTGCAAGATTTTATTAAGACAATTGTTTTTGTGTTTTAAATGAAAAATAATTCTGATCTTATTCTAAATTGATTTATACAAAAAAATAGATTTTAAAAAATTTGTTGATTTCTCACTTTTCTGTAGCATGAAGCCCATATTTTTATTATTTTTTTTTCAGTATTAAAATGATTTCTTTGATCCTAACTTTTATTAATACTTATATCAAGTATATGTTTTATATAAACATATTCATATTGAATAATCAAATGAGTATACAACTAACTATATGTATAACTTTTTTATATTACTTATTTAAGAAGTCCACTTGGAAGTTTCTCACCAGTTATCATATCTAACACTCTTGCTTAAATGTTTTATTTAAACCTTCTGATTTAATTTTAGTATTAATTTTACTAGGTTACAGACTCAGATCTTTTTGTTTTTAAGTATAGAACTATAATCCTTAGACTATTTTTATTCTTAAAATAAATCTACCAGAGTGAGCTATATTTTCTTTTTTATTGCTAACCTAGTTTGATACTATGGCCAAAACCAATACTTGTGGTCAGAATTATTCATTAAATTACTATTATTCTTGTAAAGTTTATCCAAATCCTGGTATTCATCTTTCTTAATATTCTTTGCATTATTTCTTACTAACTACTACTTAGAACTAATAAGACTTTCCAGACTACCAATCAAGATAGTCCAGTATGATATACTTATATATCCTTTTTCTCTAATAATTCTGGCAGTCTAGTTAATATATGTGCTTCTTTTATATATTTGTTATTTAGTTTATTTGACAATTTCTTTAGGAGTGTTTTATGGACTTTCATCAAATCAATAGTACTATCAAAAGTTTAAGCTATCTTTTTAGTTTTCTATACCTAATGATCTTATTATAAGTTTGCACTAAAGCCTTATATAATACTGATTTTTCATATTTCTCTATATATATGTAATGTTATACATCATATAAATGACTTAAGCTTTCAAAATCAGGTAGGCCCTAACCTAATGTATTTAAGATTACAAATGCATATACTTAACTGATTAACAAAAAACAGTTACTATAATACAAATATAGTTTCCAAAATTCATCATCTATAGAAATTGAACTTTAGATCTGCTACTTGAAATTAACAACCTATTTACTTTACTAAGTTGTTACACTTCATGATCATATTATTATAATTAACAAGTTATAAAATATTTATATAACTAATTATATAAAGAAATGCAAACTGATATCAAATAATACAAACCTAAGATAAGTTCTTGTAATTATATAAATCTATAAAAATTAGAGAACAAGAAACTTATTTAAAAAAAAAATAAGCAAAAAAATAACACAAATCTTCAATAATATTATTGTAAAGTTTAACCTTAGAAAACAGATACTAATGTAAATGAACTGAACAAATAAGAATCTTGAATAAGAAGTATCACTAAGCTGCCAGAATTGGATCAGAAAAAAATATATTAAACTGATTTATATACCAATAAACTAAATATAATTTTATTAGATTATTTAAATTAAAAGTCTGAAAACAAAAGCAGAATATACTAAAGTAATTCAGATATACTGTAAAGTAGTACTAAAGTTCAAATAAACACTGTAAGAATACAACTAGTTTTGATTACAGGTGTTGGTTTAACTATAACAATATTATGTTAGTTGTAAAATAAGTATACAAAAGATTTTGAAAGGTTTATTTTAAGAATAAAATAACCTTAAGGTTAAGACAAAGATCTAAACATGATTTAATAAAATTAACATAAGTTGCAGGTTCAGAAGATTTAAAATAAAAAACCCAAACAAGAATGTTAAATATAACAATTAATAAAAAATCTTTAAACAAACTTTTTAAATATATAATATAGAAAAGTTACACATATAGCCAATTGTATATTCTTCTTGTAGTAGTTCTACATGAAACACATTATCAAAAGTGTCAATAAAAGTCAAAAGATCCAAGAGGTCATCTTAAAAAAAAATAATACTGTATAATTTAAAAATAACTAATATATATTATAATTAAACCTTTCTAAATATATAATCATAAAGTAATCAAAAAATTTACATTTAGAAAGATAAAAATCTATAAATATCATATGAGTTAGGAACAAATAAGGCCTTGCAATTAGAAAGATCTTCTATAGACTAAGCATTTAAATCTAACTGTATTTTAAAAACAAACTACTAAGTTGTAATAAATTAACTTAGCTCAATTTAGTAATTTTTTTTTATTTATATTTTCTATATTATAAAATATTAGCTTTTTAGTCTTTAGATATTTGTACATTGTATCTATTAGGCAATACAAATTATACTGTACTATATTATCATAACCTAACACTCAAGAATGATATTTTAAAATATAATTTTCAATAAATAATTGATTTTGATAAATACAAATAATAAATAGTTTTTAACTCTAGAATTGTCGTGAAATAACACACTAGAACGTTACTTCATGAAAATACAGTACAAAACAACGCTCCAAGATGTTATTTTCACAACGATACAGTAAAGGTGACCGGAAATATTTTCATATAATCCTATTTGCCAGATTTATGTAAACTCATTAGTTTATAAGCTTCTTATATAAATTTTTCCTTTTCTATTAGTAAATGAAAATTTTGATTAAACAAATGTTTTATACCATTAATGTAACAGTCTCATCCCACTCTCGTTTTAGTGAAATAAATTCATTATATCGAGAGAATTTACTGGCTTCGAGTTTCATCGTATTGAGATTTTAATTAGTAACGTTCATGAGTTAATTTGCATATATATAAAATTTTTAGATGCATGTGAAATTGTTATGAACAATCTATATGCGTACGTACGTATGCATGCAGAAAGCTAATGCTAATTCTAGTTAAAAAATTATGCAAAACATATGCGACTATTTGTTATTATACGTATACTGAATACACTTTATGTAAAATTCGTTTCAAAAACGTCTTTAATTATATACTTACGTTTCAAATAATTTATATAAATCTAACAATATGCAAACAAAAATCAGGTATTAAATAGCTGCTGCCAATCTTTTAAATTAATAAAATAAAAATATCACGCATAGAGTGATTATTGAGAGGATGATAAGGTATAAACTAAAAAACATTCATTATACACAACATAATTCCCTTTACCGTGCCCTTACAATTGAGCATGACCAATCATAATAATATCGTCTATATGGACTCTTGTTTTTTTTTTTTGGATCATTTCTCTTGCATTTAAAAAAGGTGGTATGTATTATTTATAAATCGATGAAAAAATGTAATACTAGGGAAAGTAGGGAACAACAAACAATAAAAAAGGACTCCTTTAAAGATGTACCATACCAACACACCACACCTCTGAATAAACAGAACACCCGGAATGGAAATCTCATTATGCAAAACGTAAAAACCATCAAAGAAGTAACATTCAAGGGAAACTATACTTGCAAATGAACAAATAAGAAAAAACTTTGCCGATGGAAACATGAGGGCCTGACTTTATATATGAAGTGTATAAAAAATTATTTATAATAATAATGTTACTTGGGATCTTCAGTTTCGACTTCTTGTTTAGCTTCTTCTGGTTTCTCTCCTTCTAATTTTGAAGAAGCAATTACAGTTAATTTTAGAAAGTAATCAACTATAAACATGAATTGAAAACAGTTCTAACCATCTTGTAAGTCAGAAGTCCAAAGAGTCAAGTTATCTCTCAGCAATTGCATAATCAATGTACTGTCCTTGTACGATTCTTCACTTAGAGTATCGAGCTCAGCAATAGCATCATCGAATGCTTGCTTGGCAAGATGACAAGCACGATCGGGCGAATTGAGAATTTCGTAGTAGAAGACAGAAAAATTTAGAGCAAGTCCGAGACGGATTGGATGGGTTGGGGCAAGATCAGTCTGAGCGATATCAGTTGCGTGTTTATAAGCTTCGTGCGCTTGAGTAGCGGCTTCTTTTCGCCTCTCACCAGAGGCGAACTCTGCAAGGTATCGGTGATAATCACCTTTCCTGTTATCATAAACGAACGTTAAAAAAAAAATTATTAATGAATAAACATCCGATAGGAAACATAATATAAAAATGAATCCGAAGGGTTATTCCAAAAATATACTAAGAATATTCCGTAAATAGATTGAATATATTTCATTGATCGCAACCGTTTAGGTTACGAACCTTGTCATCAACTGTATGTTGACCAGCTCTTAATAAAGAATGCGTTCTAGGAAATAATATGGGTGACAGAAAACAATTAGAATAGGTAATTGAACTCACATTTTGTAGTAAAAGACCTTGGATTCACCGGCTTCGGCAGCTGGAATCAGATGTTCATCTAACACAGCAAGGATGTCTGAACAAACTTCAGAAAGTTCGGTCTCGACCTTTTGGCGATATGCTTTAATCTTTTGAACTTGGGTTTCATTGCCTTTGTTCTCTTCTTTTTGTTCAATGGATGAAATAATCCTCCAAGATGCTCGACGAGCACCAATAACATTCTTGTAAGCCACTGAAAGAAGGTTGCGCTCTTCAACAGTAAGTTCAACTCCGAGCTATGTATTATTACCGATTATCGCATGGGAAAGAAATATTAACATAAATAAATTATATGAAAGAACTGAGAATGAAAATTTGATTTGAGTGCTGCCAAATTTAAACCTAGAACCGAACTTAGAAAATTACTATTGATCTGTTACTGGTTTTAATTTGGAGACACTCATGTGAATAAATAGAAATAACGTTTCCTACCTTAGCAACATCCTATAAATTTTAGAGAAATACAAATGAGATTAATGTAAAATCATTATTATAAAATTTGATATACTATAAAGATACATACCTTCATGTAGGAAACCATTTCTGATCAAAAATAAAATGCGAATAACGGTTTAGAAGCCAATAAGATTTTTCAGTAAAATCACAATATAAACAAAGTGAAAGAGGAATTGATTTAATATGAGAACATTACCATCGTAACGTTCGGCTTGCTCAGCGAGCTTAGCCATGTAAACCTTTTTGTTGGAGGTCAGCATCAAGTAAAAATTAAACAATTTTTTGTCACATTTTCCTAGACAGGTTATCAAACATGCAAAACAAAGAATAATTGGTAGTTAAGGCTTTACGCGGTTAAATACCTGGTTTTCGCGTTCCTGAAAAGGGAAAGTAAACCGTGGTTAGAAAAGTCTGGAGAGCCAACCTTAAGCAGGCTAGCAATGAAGTGTTGACTCGTATGAAGAGAAACAAGTAAATTTTTCATATTCTTTTGGAAGAATTCAAACAATTTCATGCCAGCCAGTCGCCGATCACATGAAATCATCTTTGAATTCAACCTGCACAGTGCGCCATGGCAGTTAAAAAGATAAACTTACGTTAACCATCATTTTGTGATTGTGTGGTGGAGGAACAAAGGAGTTCTCTTTTAGTTTTGGGAGGAGTAGGTTTTAGGCAAGGCGACAGCGGTAAACAGGAACACTGGAGCAGGCCGGAGCAAGTGACGACGAGTATACTAACTAGTAGTTTAACCAAGATACAAAAAAATTTCTACCTTGAGGAATTTTGTAGTACTAGAATTTTGTAACTTTAGTATGTTGCGCAAATTGTAGCCAGGGCCGATTTTTAAATGATAACGGTTTGCGTCACCACGTGGCATATCACTATCTAATAAATGTGACATGATCGAATACTACTAAGTGATTAAAGAAGGTGCCAAAATTAGAATAAAAGACATTTTTTATTTTTTTTTCCGACCGAATTTCATTGAATTTCTATCTCTCTTATTCATTGTCATATAATAGACAAAGCGAGACATACTGCATTGTTGGTTTTCTTTAAGTCACTTGTTTCCTTTCTATGATGCACATATTTTTGTCCTACGGATACTGAACCAGAACCAATCATTATCTAATTTCCCATAATAAGTTTAGACATTTTATTGGGGGTTGGCCGAACAAGCCTTTAACGTTAACGTTAATTACTGTTGGATTGGTCGATTCTAATTGGGAAAGTTGCACAACCATCTCACATTACACGAGATGATATGTCATGTGAAGTTCTAGTGCTAAAGTCGTACGATTATCTTTTCAGTTGTTTGATATGACGATTGTGTTCCATGCTCGCACGTGATTAAAGAGTAAATATTTATATAGATGTTACACGATTTGTATGGCTTTTATACTAGTGAGACTAAGTGTAATATTTTAAATTTGTTCTGGATACGTACAGTAAGCTCCAAAAGGTAGGACGGTTACACAAAAAATCATAGCCAAATTTTATGCAAAAAAAATACGTAATAAAATAACGTACGCAATAAAAAAGCTAATCAAAATATTTTTAATCAATAAATTACTACTATGTATTTAACATATGGGGTGAGTCAGTGGAAACGCATCAAATTTTTTCTAAGTAAATTTTTTTTTTGAAATTTTAAAACAAAATAACTCAACAAGTACTTAATCAAATTTAATAAAAAAATTTTAAATTAATTTTACAAACTTCTAGAATTTATTTAAAAAAAATTATTGATTTTTATTAAGTTTTTGTTGAGTTATTTTTGTTTAAAGGTTTAAAAATATTTCACTAAAAAAAATTTGGTGCTTCTACTGACTAACCCCATATATTGATATATACTCTATGCTGTATAATCATTACGTATACGTATTAATATCGATGACTCGTACGTATATTTGTAAAATTTGTTATGATTTTTTTATTTTGTGTGCAACAGTCCTGAACTTTTGGAGTACGTAATTAGATAATTGTCCACAGCTAATTATTATCGTTATTAGTAAATTAACAAGGCGATTGCTGTAGCCTAGGCTATCTCTTAAACTATAAAAGATTATGTCAAAGTTAATACGTATAAATTTTACAATAAATATACACTTGACCTTTGCAAATATCAGCCCATTTGGATTTAGATTAATATTAATGTTAATAAAGAATCATATTGAAGTTAATATCATATATATACGTACGTACTAAAAATTTAGATGTTCCATCGGTATTGTATAATGTGACCTTTTGCATAATTGATATCGATATGTGGGACTAATAACTAGCATATACTAGGAAAACAGAACCCCGGATAATTCTAGAAAAGGTGTTATGCTTAAACTGGACATTTTTTGGTCCAAACTCTTCTAAATTCTGGTCAAATTAACATTTAATTTTTATTTTAACTAGCAGAGTTTAGAAGAGTTTCGGCCTTATCACCTTTTTAAAAATTATTCGGTGTCTGAAATTTAAAGATTAGGTGTAACGTATAAATCGAAGCGAACCCGTTTTTTACAAAAAAAAACATGAATAGCCCTAAATTTTTATTAGGAAACCATCTTCTGCGGCCTAATTAAAAATGTTCCTCGTGGAATTCTACTAATAGTTGTCACATTCTTATAATCATAATGCGGGTTTTTTTTAGATTTAATTTTATACGCAATTTTTTACTTAGAAAACAAACGTTACATATGATCTTACATTTTGATTGGTCAAAATTAGAGATTTTTGTGGAAACGCTATCCGTTTATAAAGTTTTAAAACACTGATTAGCTCGATATCACATGAGCGGAATCCAAGACATTTTTTTGGTACTTATATATCTATAGAAATTTCTTGTTACGCTTTGGACTAGTGCTTGGATTTGTTCAAAAAATCTATTGGATTATAAGTTAGATATCTGGTTTTATGGCAAAATTTTTGAACGGTAATTTGGTTCAACCGGGCAAATAAACACATGCCACGAAGTGGCATTTGTTTAGCCAATCATGAACCAAACTACTGTTATTCAAAAATATGCTAAATAATAATGTTATCTGACAATTTATAATCATAATTGATAGAAAGTTGTCAAGTATAGTGGACAATCTTCATTATACAAACTTTTTAAATTTGAAATTGTAACTTAAAATCAACTTAATAAAAAATTTATAATTGTTTATTATATGAATTAAATAATTTGTAATAGTTAACTAATCATATTTATTAGCATATTTGAAATATATATCAAATTTGTAAATAATATAAATTTTTTAAAATTATTAGTATTAGTTTTTTTTTCTTTTTGGCAGTCATTATAGTATTTTATTAAACCATTTGTAGCTATATATGTAAATACAGAATATTATTTAACATATAAGTTTATCATCATCCAATCATTCACACTTATCTAAATGCAACCTGCATACTAATCTAGTTAAAACTAGAATTATAACTTGTCTAACTTCTGAATTACAATAAAATACTATTAATTTAAAAACATCTTCGCTGATCACTTGTACACAAACTATAGAAAAGCAATTTAGAAGTTTACTACAAAATAACTGTCTAAACCAACTTTACAGCTCTAAGAAAAAAAATAGAGCTTACAAAGAAGGTATAACAAGGGCTAGAAAGAAAAAGCTTAGATAACTGATCGAGAAGATAAAATTGAAAATATCTTTGTTATTGCTACAAAAAACAGAACTGGTGAAATTCACTGCAACTTGAAAATGCAGATCCATAGATCACTACAACATGTGAATAAGACAACAAAACAGACACATAAATTAGCTAACGTGCAAACAAACCCAATTTGGATAGTAATAGACACAAGACATAGAAAATTTCAGAACAACAAGTAATAAACAGAAATCGCTGATAGTCAGATGAAAATAAATAGCACACAGAATTGAAAAGAAAGTCTAATGTCAATTTATATCAAAAGAGCATATTGGACAGCAAACAATATACACAATAAAGTCTTTTTTAACCAAGTGAACAAAACTATTACAATACCAGACAGAGAAGATGAAATTGTTGTTATGCTAACAGAACAGGACCCAATAGAAATTACACTGCTTCATATAACTAGAGAGATAATAAAAAAAACAGAAGAAGAGCAACCAGAAAAGAAAATTAACATCAACAAACAAAGCAAAAATATCATTATAATTAAAGAACTAGCAATAAAGCAGTTACAAAACAAAGAGAAGGAAATACAGTGACAGTCAAATGAAGCAAACAGAGACCAGAAGAAACATACAAAACAACACAAAAAAAGAAGATAAAAAATGAAGAAATCATTGAAAAAGAAACACAGAACAATACAGAAAGCTTTTGAAAAGAGGTAAGTATAAAGGTAAGTATAACAAACAGGAACTAAGGCAAAGAGAATCCACCCACCTAGAGAAAAAACATAGAAGAACAGAAAGAGAAACAAAAACAAGAAAGCATCGGTGAAAGAATTGAAAGAGAAATTGACATAGTTGGAGAACCCCTAAAGGAAAGCATATGGGCTTCAAACAAAAGAAACTGTAACTGAAATAACAGTTTACTTGCTAATATACTGGCACATTATGTACCTAATGAAATGAAAGAAGATCATATGAAATTCATCAGATGGTCTTTAAGAAATAACATGCATGTTAAAGACATCAGAGAAACCTTTAAAAGAGGAAACTTATGAATAGAAGTAGACTTTGACTATGATTATGGAAGAAATGAAGCAATAAAAAGAATTAGCAAAAAGGAGAGTGATTAGTATAAAATGATACCAGAAGAAAAAGATGAAAAAGATAGAAGAAAGCAAACACAAGATAATGAGAGATATCAGAAGACACAAAATAGTGAAGCAAGAACCCAAAAAGAAGAACATGGGTGGAAGGAGAATGAAATCAAGACAGAAGGAAATTAATACAGAATAAGCAAAGAATCAGAGAATACGAACTATATAATGATTTGGAACCTTCCAACAAGCATAAACAAAAAAGAGTTAAAGTATATTTGTAGAAGATTTAGAAAATCTCATATAGTAAGAATCAAAAGGTCAAAATACAAGGCCTTAGCAATTATACAAATAGAGAAAACACATAAGGAGGTGCCATGAGCTATATCAGTAAATAACAACAAACTAGTACAAGTAACTAAAGAAATAAAAGAATACAAAACAAGAGAAGAACAAAGAAGATATACAGCAAAACTAACAGGACTACTAGAAAGTGCCTCAGAAATCTTACTGCTATGTAGTCTGAGAAACAAGGGAGTTAAATCAGTTTACATATCTTCAAATAGAAATAAAACCAAAAAAGGACTGCAACAGTCATGTTTGCAACAGAAGAAGATATAAAATCAGCTTAATCTAAACCATTTATGTTTAACAACTTCCAGCTTTACTGGGTAAAAGAAGAAACAAAATGGAAAGAAAGTTTTAAACAAGAAAGAAGAAGAAGCTAGAAAAGGTACAGCCAAGTCTTTGTGGCAAACAAAAACAACATCAGAAGAGAAGAGCAAGAATTTAGGTTAAATACAAACAAGGAAAGAAAAGAACATAATCAAAGAGTAGAAGATCAAATAACGGCAAACAGAGGTTACACACAAGATCAAATGGCAGAAAAAGAAATAAGATATACAAACTTATTCAAAGAAGAAGATAGACCATATAAAAAGAAATCTACTGAAACTGACATCCAAATACAAGAAGAACTCCTATACACAAGTGACATCCTAAATCGAATTCTGGAAAGACTTGAAAGATTAGAAGATGCAAGCAGTGCAACATGGAGCAGTCTGGCCTACTGCTCCTAAGGGTGCCATAGTTGAACCAATGAATACAGACCAGAAGATCGAAGAGTTTTTGCATAGTGAAAGGAGAGCCTTTGAAAGAAGTAACATGGAATCGTCTTCTGGTTATAAGAGAAAAAC